GTCTCAGCTGGCCCCTGCCTGAGGCCACCTGCCCCACCTGCCTCCAGGCCAGGGGGCTGTGCTGCTCACCAGCTTGATGACATGACCCTCCCTCCGGCGCCAGGCTAGAGAGAGCTGCGGCGGGAGCGAAGCTCGGTTGGCCCAAGTCCAAAGGAAAGCAGGGGCGGGCGGTTAGAGAGGTCGATTTATAATTGCCTGAGCTGAGATTTGGGCAGGACACGAGCGTGATCTCCTCTCCATTAGCAGGAGTCGCACGGCCCGTGGGCCTGAGTCTTGCCTTTGGCGCCCGGCAGACCCGCGTGGCTTGAGGGACGCGCGTCTCGCCCGTCCAGCTGGCTGGCCAGGCCAGTCCCTCGCTGCCTCCTCCCCAGGGAAGGTCTCTGGGCACTGCCCCCGAGGCTGCCCGGTGAGACGAGGCCTCGCTGTGACCGCTCGGGTTACCTGTCGGGGGCCATGTGCCGCGCCCATGGCTGGGTGTGCAAGGGCGGAAGGAATAAATTCTGCAAGAACCCTTCTCTTGGCGTCTCTGTCCTCGTGCTCGCCTCTCCCCCCACACGGGCCCCCGCCTTGGTGGCGTTAGACGGACAGAAGCTGGCGCAGCCTTTTCGAATTGCGTCTGTGGTCAAACCAAGGCCCCCGCAGCGTGGGGAAGGCGCGGGGGGCATGTCGGTTTCTGACTCACTCCTCTGGAGCGCTTCCTGCTTCCCCCCGAGCAAGGTAACTGCACACTCGCCGCCGGGCCTGGGCGCGGATCAGTGTGTTCAAGCCTCGCACGGCTCGGCTTTCAAACACGAGCGCTGCTGCACGAGTGGACGTCTGGAAAGGGGCAGAAGCAGCTTATTATGTTTAAAAGCGGGGGGGGGGGGGTTAATATTTTAACCTCCCTCCCCCCACACCCATTCTTCCCAGCATTCCAGTGCGTTGCGAGGCAGCTCAGGTAGCTAGCTTCGTTACTGGGCTGGAGGCTAAAAAGCAGGGGCCGAAGAGCGGCCCTGGATTTCTGGCTTATTCCTGCAATCGGTAACTCCCTCGCCCCCCTCGTATTACTGCAAAGGGCCTTGCACGGCCCGAGGACACGCGCTAACTACTTGTGCCCCACCTGCCCTTTTGCTTTGGTGGCTGAAGAATCACACTCCGTGTCTCCCAGCAGCATCGCTTCTGCCCCCAGAAGTGGGTCCAGTAATGGATTTTGCTTCCCTGCCCCGGTGTCTCGTCGGAGGCACAGGGAGGCTAAGGGACTTGCCCGAGCTGTCTGTCGAGTGCTTTGCCCGCACTCCTTTCCGCGAGGGGACACCGTGCACGGAGCTCTAAGGAACGTTGCAGGGAACAGTCCTTTGCTGCCTGGGGGTGGGAGAGAAAACGGCCTGGTCTTCCCATCTCTGGTCTGGCAGCAGCTTTTTCCCAGTCCCGGTTCCTTGGCAGCATCCTCCAAAGCATTGTGCCGGGGAACCCCTCTGGCTCCTGCGGAGCTGCAGCAAATGACACGGGGGCGGGGGCGGGGGCGAGAGTCACCCCGGGCGTGAGAGCCCGGACGGGCCCCCGGGACGCAAGCAGAGAGCGCAGGTTCGGCCTGGGCTCTGATCCAGTGTCTGAATGTGGAATTATTACTGCCCGGGCCTTGCTCCCAGAGCTCCCCACCTGCTCAGCCGTGGCGCAGAGCTGCCAACCCAGCCCCGTGCGCCCCCGCCTTGCCGTCCCGGTCCCGTCTCACGCTGAGTGCCTGTCTCTGTCCGGCAGGGGAGGCCTGGCGGCTGGAAGACGACGGCGTGGGACCCTCGGGCGGTGCCGGGCCCCAGCCCCAGCTCCGCACCGCCATGGACGAGGCCCCCTTCAGCCACTGCCGGACGCGCTCCTTTTACATGAGGAAGAGCCTGTCTGTGGACAACCACCTGGGCGCCCTCAGCTCCTCGCCCCGCCCGCCCGAGACCAGGACTGATGGCGTCAGAACCAAGCTCCGGAGGCAGTTTGTGAGTACTGGGCCCGCCGGGCGCTGCCCCTCGGCTCCTTCGCGGGCCGGGCCGCTCCCAGCCAGGCCCTCCTCACAACCTCTGACAAGCGTGGGGCTGCCCCGCCTGGCCAGCCAGATGGCAGCAGCGTCACCGGGAGCTTGGCTTTACTGTGGGGCAGGCTGGGGGTGCCGGGGAGCGGGGCGCAGGGCTGGGCGTGGTGCTGCTGGGCAGAGCAGGCCGTGCGTGGGGCGAGGGCCGGAGATGCGGGCGCTGGCCGAGCTGCGCAGGAGGCCAGGCTGCTGGGAAAGGAGGCAGCGGTGCGGGCCGCAGGCACCTGGCAGGAGGAGGCACGTGTCCGGGGCTGGTGTCGTGTTGGGCGCGCTGCGGCCCTGCCAGGAGCGTTGGCAGAGCTGGGTGGCGCTGGGCCCCGGGCTGTCCAGGAGAGGAGGGAGCTGCCCTGGCGTGCAAGGGGTGGGCATGGGGCCGGTCTTTGGCAGTCTTGTCGCTGTTTGCTCGCTTCCATCTACAAGGGGCTGGGGGTGGGGAGCTGGGGCCTGCTTTTGTTGTGCAAAGACCAAGAGCGAGGAAGCAGCCGAGTCCCCCTCCCGCCATGTAAACCAACCCCCACCGCCCTGGCACTGGCCTGGCTCTGACTTGGCAGGGTGGTGGCCGGTCTGCGGCCAGGGGCAGGGGCAGCCGCTGCCTGGGAGCGGGCCCGCAGGAGGACACAGTAGCCAGGGCGGGAGACGGCTGGCACGTTTAAAGTTTAATGGATACCCGATAGGGACAGCCATCCTGCCGCCTCCCTGCCTCATTACTGCCCTGGGCTTGTAATGAGGGGCTCCGGTGACACTTGGGAAAGGCGACACTGCCGAAGCCGGGCCAGGCAGGCTGGCCGGGGGCCGGAGGGGCCGAGCACTGCTCCGCACCTGTGCTGCTTCACCCGGCGCTTTGCAGGCTTCCTCGCTTTCCTCCCCCCGCTGCTCCGGCCGGTGGCATCCCTGCTCTGGCTTCCGCTCTTCGCAGATGGGCCTGGGGCCTGCTCCTTCCCTCTGGCAAGCGCCCCCCAGTTGTGTGCGTCCCTGTGTCGGGTGGGCTGCACAACGCCGTTTCTCGCTCAGCGCGTGGGATGGCCATTCTGACTGCAGCGGGGGCTGCTGCTTTTCCGTGCGGCGATACACGTGGAAACCCGCCGTGAGTTTTTGCGGATGCCTGTTGAGATCCCAGGACTGAGAGCCGCCAGCAGTGAACCAGGTCTCTGGATTGTGCTGTTTCAGTCAAAGGAACCGTCTGGAGCTGGCAACCCTGGGCACCGGCGTGAGCAGTGCAGGATACCTGAGCCGTGACTGGAAGGGCATGTTTAGGGGGAGACCATTCTGCTGTGGGGTAAGCAAGGGGGTCTCTCTTCTCTGCCGCTAGGCCATGCAAGTGGCCCCCTCGGGCTGTGTGCACCCTGCAGCGAGAGAGGAGGGGGTTGTGCCGAGGCTGATTCGGAAACGTAGGAAGCTGTTCCCGTGCCGGAGGCTTTTCTGGCTCAGATCCGTTTGTGCAGAGCAAGGCCCAGTGCGGCGTGAGCAACAGGCCCGGCACGGCCTGTCAAGCAAACCCCTTTCAGAGCCCTGGGGGTGGGATTTCCACGTGCCCTTGGCCCTTGCTCTTCCTGGCTTATGAGCAGGGGGTGGTGCTCAGCTGTGGAGCCATTGCACAGGGTGCTGTGTCTGACGGGGCAGCTGCTGGTGCCCTCGGCCTTCTGTTCCTTCCCGCCGTCTCCCAGATGGGCCTGGCCCTGTTGCCTAGCAGTCGGTGGCCGATGCCAGGGGCACCACGCCAGCCGGGCCCACCCTGGGTGCAGTCCTGCTCCTTATCACACCTTCTGGAGCCTGTGGGCGGGGCCTTTCCCATTGAACATCAGCTCCGGTTGCTTGTTCTGACTCCGAAAGCGAGTTCTTGCGCCTTGTTCCAGGAGTTTCCCGGGGGCGGTTTCTGGGGGCCTGGTGTCTGGAGCAGGCTGCCGAGAGAGACGTGACTATGAATCCATACCTGGGCACTCGGACGGGCAGAAGTGTGGCGCCTCCCTCACTCCCACGGACACCTGCATCTGATTGAGGGGCTCAGATTTAGGGGTTAGGGCGTTAGCCCAGGATGTGAGGTCCGGGATCAGTCCCCGGCTCTGCCACAGCCTTGTGGCGTCACCTGTGGCAAGTCACTTAGCCCTTCTGAGCCTGAGTCCCTCCCATCTGTGCAGTGGGGAGAACACTGCTGCCCCCGGAGGGAGTGTGAGGCTAAGCCCATTAGAGGGGGGAAGCACGGTGGGATCTCCTGCCATAGACGGGCTAGGGAAGAGCTAGTCTTCCCCCCCCCCCCCCACTCCCCGCCCTGCCTGGTTCGGTCTGTGTCTAGGCCAAGAAGTGCCCTTCAGCACCAGGCAGACGGGACGAGCTCTCGCTGGTGCACACGTCTCTGGCGAGGCTCCCTGATGCCAGCTCCTCTGGCTGTTGGTGCCGCCTGCCCGCTGCAGCCAGTGGGGTCGTTCCCTTTGCTCTCAAAGGGAGCTGCGCTGGGCCCTTCCGGCCGCGGGGCAAGCCAGCGTAGCTGGTTGGCATCGTCCATCCCGGAGCGCATGAGGGGTTTGCCAGGGGTTTTCTCCTCGTTTGCTTTCCGAGCTGCTTAGTACCCAGCAAGGCTCCGGCTGTGTCCTGTGATCTCGATGGGTCGGAGGGGCAGGGGGCCCCTGTGGGGGGCGCGGGTGGGATCATGGCGTAGGTTCTGCATCAGCCCAGAGCCAGTGCCAGGGCGGTGGCAGGCGGCATGTGCAGCTGACGGCAAAGAGCCCGACTGCACAGATAGCTACGTCTGGCGTCAGGCTCCCGGTCCAGGCAAGGGTTAGCAGCGACGAGCAGGGGGAGGTCTCGGAGGGATAGTAGGACAAACGATTCCCGAGGCAGGCGGGGAAGTGCTGGGCTGGGTTCCCTGGGGGTGGTTAAGTCCCGGCTGGACCAAGCGCTGGCTGGGCTGATTGAGCTGGGGCTGGTCCTGCTCCGGGCAGGGGCCTGGACGTGATGCCTCCTGAGGGCTCTGCCCGCCCTGGGGTTCTAGGATTGTCTCCACGTTCTGCTCCACATGGTGACGTTAACAGCACTTGTGACCTACCTCCGCAGCAGCTGATTGCCGGCTAGGGGGCGTGGCTTCACATCTGCGAGGTCTGCGCTTTGCACCAGCTGTGGGAGGAACAAGCAAAGCATCCGCGGCCAGGAGATGGGTTTGATTTCTCGTGATGGCACGCCTGGGACTTGTGAGGGAAGTCCTCTGAACTTGATTGAGTGTTCAGTGTGGCTGCTGCGATCCAGCTGGTGATGTTTAATTGCTGCCTGTCATTCTTTGGGTACGGCAATGCCTCTGCTCCCGTTTGTATCGCCGGGAAGCATCCGGGAGCCTGGCGTGGCTTTGGGGTTGGCTCTGCCAGCGTTGCTTGGGAATGAGGTATTGAGTGGAGAAGGGGTTGGGCAGATGCAACAGACACAGAGGGATACTTGGTCCACTGCTAGTTCCAAGCATTGGGGTAAAACGCAAGCGGAGTCGGGCCTTCCAGCCTCACGGACTAATAGATTCCAAGGCCAGAAGAGGCTGCTGTCTTCCCGTTCTGTGTCCTGTTCTGGGCACCGCATTTCAAGGAGGATGTGGAGAAATTGGAGAGGGTCCAGAGAAGAGCAACAAGAATGATGAAAGGTCTGGAGAACATGAGCTGTGAGGGAAGGCTGAAAGAACTGGGTTTGTTTAGTTTAGAGAAGAGAAGATTGAGGGGGACGTGATAGTCGTTTTCAGGTATCTAAAAGGGTGTCACAGGGAGGAGGGAGAAAAGTTGTTCATCTTGGCCTCTGAGGGTAGAAGAAGAAGCAATGGGCTTAAACTGCAGCAAGGGAGGTTCAGGTTGGACATTAGGAAAAAGTTCCTACCTGTCAGGGTCGCCAGGCACTGGAATAAATCGCCCAGGGAGGTTGTGGAATCTCCATCTCTGGAGATATTGAAGAGCAGGTTGGATAAATGTCTATCAGGGATGGTTTAGACAGTATTTGGTCCTGCCATGAGGGCAGGGGACTGGACTCGATGACTCTCGAGGTCCCTTCCAGTCCTAGTGTTCTGTGATTCTATGATTCCCCTAGACTGCCCTCTGCCATAGCAGGGCACAGCAGGGGCTCTGCAAGGGAAATTCAATTGGAAGCTCAGTACCGAAGATGGACGAGAGCCTCGAGCTTTCTCCAAAGCGCATGGGCTGGTGTCTGTGTTGCTAAGTAACCTTTGCGCTGCAGTGTGGCCTGGTGGAGGACTGGACCCTGGCGATCAGGGCTCTGGTCCTCGCTCCACCGCTGGCCTATTGGGTGACAGTGGGCAAGTCCCTGCCCTGCTCTGTGCCTCAGGTTCCCCATCTGTATGGGGGGATAACAACACTGGCCTCCGTTAGGAAGTGCGTTAAGAGCCACTGATGAAAACCATGTGATGTCATCTTGTCTAGTCAACTTCTCCGTCAGCCTCCCCTGCCGCTCCGAGGAGGATCCTGCGTCCTTCCTGCCACGCGCCCCGTGGCGTGCACTGGGGAGAAGGCTCAGTTGGTGGGTTTCTGCACCCAGGCCAGGACTCTCTCTGGAGCCAGCCCGTGGAACATGGAGCCAATCTCACTGCTGTCAGACTTGGCATCCGCTTGGACAGATTATTTTCATTTGCATAATTTGAATTTTAAATTACTTTCCCTTTCCTGTGGCTGCAGTTTTCCATTTTGCTCTTCTGCCACTTGTGATGTGAGTGAAGTGTCGGCCTGGGCGGGGGAGCGAGCAGCCTTTGATGGCTCCGGCAGCTGGCTCCGAGCCGCTCCCCCTTGCAGGGACGGGAGTGGGCTGAGGCAGACGCACAGAGAACCTGCTCTGAGCGAGAGGCCTGCGTGAGGGTTGCTCCATCCAGGTGTCTGCCTTGGAATGGCCGGGGCTCCTGTTGCCTTGTGTGGGGTTCCCAGGGTACGGACCAGG